GGTCAGCAGACCGGCCTTGTCCTCAGCCTCTGTCCCTGGGTTTGGCTCTGCCTGACTGTGGCTTTGTGAGAGCATGCGCTTTATAGTCAACCGGCGACTGACGGGAACCCAAAATTGACTTATATCCATGGTAACTGTCACCCAGGGAAACTGAGAAACAAGAGTCTTTTCTTCCCATTCGCATCAAACAGAGCCAGTGCTCAAAGATCGTGGGGCTTGGTTCTCCCTCTGGCAGGCCTGGCTTGTCTCCTGGGGAGGATGCGTGTGCTCCTCCTCCTCCCTGACCCTTCCCGAGAGCCCTGGCTGATGGCTGGAGCCTACTCGGCCTGAGACTGTAGATCTCTGCTTCAGGAAGCTCCCCTGAAGCCCAGCTCCTCAGGTAACAGGTGGGAAGCTTTAGGAAATGCCTGTCAGCCACATTCCAGAGGGGGATCGAAATCGTTCTGGGACTTGTGTTTGGTGGAAGTTGATGGTTTCTGGAGGAAGGACTGGTGGGATCCCTGTGTGTGGGATCGTCGGCTGACTTGACTGTGGTGGGAAGACGCCATCTCTCTCCTCTGAGGCTGATTTATGTCTTCTCTGGGGTATTGTTTTCTCTGATTGGTTTTTCTTCCTCACTTGCTCCTGAGACTTTTCTGGAAGGGATTGTGATGTGGTCATCCCCCGGGGGGTAATTTTTCACTTTCCCTCTCACTGTCTCTGTCCAGTGAGTACACGAACCCTATGTCAAAAACCTAAAAAACAAAACAAAACAAAAAACTCTGGTCTTAAGAAATGCTTCATGATCAGTGGTCAGGCAGTGGCATAGTGGTAATGTAACTGAACCCACGTAGAAAAGGTTCAGGGTTCACATCCCAAGATCTCCCTAAGCATGCCAGGCACATGTGTATGTCCACAGTCTGGGGTGACTTACACTCCGGGGGGGGATCACAATGAGAAGACCGTTTTGGAGATGCCTGTCTCCCTCCTTCTCCACCTTCGGAATAAGTAAATAAATACACTTTAAAAAGAAAAAAAAATAGGGCCAGCAGATGGCACGGTGGTTAGGGTGTTTGACTCGCACATGGCCAACTATGTGGTTTGAGTCCCTGAGCTGGCAGCCTAAAAATATATGATGGACACATGTGCATGAGTGCCTAAAATCCTGAGAGGAGGATGGAGGAGAAAGAATTGTGGTGTGGTCATCTCCCCTGGGCGGTGATTTCTCATTTTCTCTCTCTCTCTCTCTCTCTAGCAAATGCACATGTCCTATAGCCATAAATAAATAAATAAATAAATAAATAAATAAATAAATAAATAATAAAAAAAGCCAGCCACAGTGGCGCAGCAGAGTCACACAAGGCTCTATGATGTTGAAGCCACATGGGAAAGACTTGGGTTCGTGTGCTAAGTAAGGTCTCCCTGTCCGAGTAGGGCACACACACACTCATGCCTGTGATCCTGCCTGACTGAGGCGGTGGATTGTGGCATGAGGATCCTGCTGTGGGGGCCGCTTTGTCTCATGGAGGAAATAAATGAATAAACTTTGATGAAGAAAAATGTGAGAAAAACTATTTGAAAAGAAAAGTAGTTCATGAACCAACAGACCTGTATGGGCAGATAGATTTGGAAATTGCTTCACGCTCTATTCCATATTGGAGCATCACAACACACAGAGCTTATTAAAGGCCCCAAAATGTGGTACGGTTAAGAAATGGTGTAGTTCCACTTGATTTAAACCCATGTCTTCCAAACTTTCTTTACCGTAGAATCTTTCTCTTTTTTCCTTTTTCTCTTTTTGTATTTGTTTCACAAACACAGTGGGGAAATGGTTGGGCTGGAGATTCCCACCAATAATGAGGCAGGTCTGGCCAAGGGCATGATTCTAGACTGCAGCTGGTATAGAACACAGGACCCACTTGGAATCCAGGAACTTTATCTTCTATTTCCCCCGTACTTAAGAATCACTGAGCTATAAAGATTCTTGGCAGAGTCAGGAGGTGGGAGGTTGGATTGGAAATGAGCCTAGATCCCTATTAAACATCCTAGGAGGCTGGATAATCCATTGCCTCCTGGGGAAGCCATTTTTTAGAGCCATTTGTGAAGAAGTTTATCCTTTTACATACCCATTAGCTAGTGACTTAGCCCCTGGAGCCACGTGGATAAGCCCAACCCATCCTGGCTCCTTATCCTGTCTGCGGCTGTGGAGCATGCATGTTCCCCTCTGAGTCCTTTCTGTGTGTCTCATCATTTCTTTCTTCCTTTTTTTTGGAGAGGTTTTTGTATAGGGAACGTGCGCTCACCAGAAAGAGAGAGACAGAGAGACAGAAAGTAAAAAGTCACCCTCCTGGGGGATGTTCATGCTGCAATCCCTTCTCCTTCATTCTCTTCTCAGGATCTTGGGCACGCACACACATGCACCCGGTGTGAGTTTAAGTCACCAGGTCTGGGACTCGAACCATTGTCGACTACATGGGAGTCCAGTGACATAGCCATTACGCCATCTGCTGGTACCTATTTCATCATTTCTGAGGAGCTGTGTTCCAGAGCCCCTCCACATCACACCCTCCTTCCTTTGAGGGGCTGCAGTTTGCCGACAGCACTTCCCACAGTGGGATGAGAACAGAGTTGAGCATAGCCTTGGCATTTCCCTGCAGAGCTGAGCAGCACCTACCCCAGGCTTGCCCACTTCCTTCTTCAGGTGGCAAGTCTTATGTGCCAGAAAAAGGTTCTTTGAAGTTCACACTAGGGATGTGGTTTGTGTTCACATGGGTTCCATCAGGCTATCACTCCAGTGAGGAGGATTTGTCAAGGTTCCCCATTTTAGTAATTACGTTTTCCTCAGCATATGAATCTTTGGCTAAAGAATCTCAGGAAGCAAGTTGCTTTGTCAGTTAGGAAGCTGTCAGCTTCAAGTCACAGAAAACCTCCCTCAAAATGTCTTAAACAAAGGCCATTTACAAACATACTAGGTGGCATTCAGCACTGGGTCTGGAGGGATGTTTGATTGATAGCTCAGATATGCTTCTTGACTTTGTCCCTTGATAGTGTCCAACCATGCTTGGGATTTTCTCAGCCTTTGGGATGCTCTACTTCACCTGTGTGCCTGCCCTGCTGCAGCCAAGAGTAGAACAGCCTGCTAGAATTACCATATTTTTATTCTTTTCTTGTACTTTCTTCATTTCTAGTGTTTCAAGTTTCCTTCTTGTATCATTGCCATTCTGTTTGAAGACTTTCCTTAGCTATTCTTTTGGAGTAGGTCTAATGGTGAGAAGTTCTGTTTATTTCTTTCATGTAGGAATGTCTTCATTTCATCTTCACTCTTGAAGAAGAATATTTTTGCTAGGTATAAAATTCTGGTAAGACAGTCTTTTCTTTCAGCATTTGAAAAAATGTAATACCACTTCCCTTGGGTCTCCATAGTTTCTGATAAGTCTATCATTCATATTGTGTTTCTCTCTAGACAATGGGCTATATTTTTCTAGCTGCTTTCAAGATTTTTCTCCTTTGTTTTTAGTTTTCTAAACTTTGATTATGGCGATGTGGCTTTCTTTGGGTTCACGATGCATAGAGGCTGCTCAGCTTCTTGAATCTGTAGATTAATACTGGGAAGTTTTCAGCTATTATTTCTTTGAATACTTTTCTCCTCTCCTTCTTGAACTCCAATAATACAAATATTAGATCTTTTGTTATAGTCCTGCGGGTCCCTGAGGATCTTTTCATTTTGTTTCAGTCTATACTGTGTTGTTCATATGGAGTAATTTCTATGGTTCTATGTATCAGTTCACTGATTCCTTCCTCTGTCATAATCATAATCACACTGAATTGTTTAAATTGTATTTTTCAGTTTTAAAAATTCCACTTGGTTCTTCTTTATATCATTTATTTCTTTGTTGAGACTCTTATAAATTTTTTCTAAGCATGTTTGTAATTGTTCCTTGAAGCATTTTTATGATGGCTGCTTTAAAATTCTTGTTGGATAATCGCAACATTTGTGACATCTTGGTGTTGCAACACTGATGTCTTTTTCTCATTCATTTTCAGATTTTCCTTGTTCTTGGTATGATGAATGATTTTCATTTGTATCCTGGTCATTCTGGGTATTGTGTTAAGAGACTCTAGATTCTCTTCTATCTCCTTTTCTTTCTTTCTTTCTTTTTTTTTTTTTAAGAGAGATTTTTGCTGTAGGGTATGTGTGTTTGCTGGAGCAACAGAGAGAGACAGAGAGACAGAAAGTGAGAAATCGCCTCCGAGGGGGTTGGCTATGCACAATCCCTTCTCCTCCATTCTCTTCTCAGTATCTTGAGCATGCATGCACATGAGCCCTGCATGTTTTAAGCTACTAGGTCTGGGACTTGAACCATGGTCAACTATGTGGGAGTCCAGTGACATAACCATTACACCGTCTGCTGGTCTCTCTGTTTCCTCTTTTGAAGGCAGTCATGCTATTGAGGTATAGCATACAGATCCAGGTCGGGGGGTGGTGGTGGTCATATTCAGATTCACAGTAGGTCTGCTGACACCATCTTGGCAAAAGCAGGGCACCGCCTCGCACTTGCATGATTCTCCGTATTACTGATGAAGGGCATAGAAGTTCTGCTCCCCACTGAGCTCTGTGGGTGGAGACTTTAAGACAAAGATAGCATACACACAGAAATATGTGTGTATCATAAGTATGCTCAACATAAGCTTGATGAATTTTAAAAATATTTACTTATTTAATTTTATTTGTTATTATTATTTTTTAATATGACCCTAGAGAAACAGAGAGAAAGGGAAAATGAGAAAGCAAGCCACGAGGTCCAGGACTCTAACTGCAGTCGGCCACGTGAGAATACAGCACCTTTAACCACCATGCAACCTGCTGGCCCCTGCTTGATGAATTTTTATACAAGCTAGAAATGTGGAAGCACTTAGGAATTTTGTTTATTTGTATATTCTTATAAAAGTGGGGGAATTCTCTTGTTCCTAGAATTATTCACTTACCTGCTGACTTCTTCCTTCTCCCTGTTGTCCAGCTCTCATTCTACACATTCATTCTTTTTAAAAAATAATTATTGATTGTTATTAATAATTATCTTTAATTTGCTATAGGGCACATGCACTCACGAGAGAGAGAGAGAGAAAGAAAGAGAGCATGAGACAGAGGGAAAACTTAAAAGCAAGCTGCCAAGTCTGGACTTCCACATGCGGCCAGCCGTGTGGGAGTCCAGCATCTTAACCACCGCACCATGTGCTAGCCCCTCTACACATTCGTTCTTCATTTGTTAATTTATTCATTCGTTTACACTTCAGTTTTCTTCCTTCCTTATTTCTTCCATGTTTCCCATTCATCCATCCATCTATCTATCCTTTTTCCAACCTAGCCATCCATCCATCCTCCCATCTATCTGCCTGTTT